TATGGAATCCAAAACCAAGACGACACCTAATCTTCCACGCTAAACCTTATCGTTGAGAACTCTCCAAATTCGATATATCCGAGAGAGAGAGAGAGAGAGAGAGAGAGAGAAGGAATTCAGTGTAATGAAGAACAACCCAAGTTTAGGTGGTTTAGTCTGGAATTGATTGGATGGTTCAAATACCCTAAGCTGATGGCTGAAATGACTGAGAGTGTAGAAGTCTTTAATGAATTTAGCATCGCTGACATTGTCAAAGGATTTCTGCCATTTAATTCAAATACAGACGATCCCCTCGGTAGTAATCCCTAGAAATGGAATACTTCATCAACAGCTATAAATCAGCGGTTCCCGTTGACCAGTCACCAAGATACCCTTTCGCCCCCTCAATCGTAAAATGGAATACATTTGAAGGCAAATATTTCTATGTATTCTGGGGTGCTTAACTATGGAAACAGTCATAACTGCACAAGAGCATTATTGCTGCCACGTCCGATCCGAGTGTTGAACTGATGAAGCCTATTCTTTTGACTGCTTTGGACGTGATTCGAGCTTTAGGATCACGGAGAAGTGCTCAACCTTCACTCTAATTGCACACCTGTGACGGCAACACCCTCTTCACTCCACGAAACCCAATTGGCACTTACCTGGTCGGGTGTTGACTGGCGCACTCCTCGTGCCGCGTCCTGCAGCCAACTGCGAGACCGGAAGTTAGTCCAGTGCTTTTCTGCGCATCAATAACTTCCAGATTGTTGCTTGTAATGAACCAGAGGAAGACCTAAGATTCTGCGAGCCCATAAATCTAGCTCTGTATTGGACAAACTAGGGATGTGAGCATGGTGCTAGCATATTTGTACAGCAATCGTTGAGTGTTGGTGAGTGTCCGTTTAAAGTTAATTTCTGAATTTACCTTGCCTGACATCCACGTCCGACAATGCGTTCGTTCATACTTGTCATCCTTGCGACTCTGGTCGTACTTCTACAAACCGCTGGAGCGGCCCTACCTAACACTCGCAATTTGGAAGCAACCACAACGGATTGGAAGTTCGCGTCCACATCTCAGATTCAATCACTGCCGGCCGAATACAACGTCAATGGAAAGAGAAGCTTGCGGGTTACAGCAACTACAAGGGCATGACGTACAAAGTTTGGTACGATAAAAAAAGATTGGCGTGAACAAGGTGACGCCCAAGTATGGGTGTCATTTCGACAGGATGACCTTTTTGGTCATCCAATATGCAGCAACAGTTAGACTTCTTTACTTCATAGAAGCTCGCATTCCTACGAACTGAGTAAGGTGGCTCGAAGTCAGTAATGCAAAGCATCTTTAACTTAGGTCCCTGATTGTTTTGAAATCATACCAATCTATTCCCTCCTGCAACTTGTTGGTATTGGCAGCGTTGCCAAAGACTAACAGGAGCGTAGCATTTGTTGGTAGCCTTGTTGTCGATCATTGGATAGCAAGGCAGTCTCTATAGGCCGCGTCACTGGTGGGGAGTATCTTGCCAGGGCTCGGAAAATATATATTGAATATAGATAGTCGGTGAGGTGGCCTTCAAAAACACAAAAAACCTTTCTGGACCTCACTACCATCTTTATAATCATATCGCTGACATTGTCTAGCCCAAAGCGGGGGATTTCATGGCACTGTAGAGACGATGAGCCTGGAACCGGACGGCCAATTTCCAGTGCCTTCGTCAAACAGGCTGAGAAAGAAGATATAGGAACTTGACTAACAAGCTTGCGTCTTAGCGTTGGGGATGCGAGAAGTCGTTTGACGATTATTTTCTCAGATATAATATATCTACTATACTATAGTAGATCTACTCGGTTATTAAGGCTCTAGATCAATCTTGACGTCAACAAGAGCTTCACATTCACGGTTGTAAATGACAATGTTGAGTGGTCGGTGGTCTAGGGATTTTAAAATTTAAACCTATTCAAATTAACACCATGTGTCTCGCCGACGAGAAAGATGATGCAACACGCTCAGCGACTGCAGCTGGAGCCGCCACTTTGGATGGTGGCTACGCGATGTCATACAGTTTGATGCTGGAAGAGTGTTGCAGTGCTATTCTTGATAAAAGAAGGTTATCTATAGAGTTTAGGCACACAAATGATCTATTTTGTGCTACTACCAAACCGATGTGCACTATTCTCAACTTGAATTTTATGGCATGGAATTGGGCTCGAAGGGTCAATAAATAATTGAAGTAAGTTATTGCAAATTATTGTTTCGGTTATTGAAATTTACCGAGGTCTGGCTGGTCGCGCTCCTAATCAACTGTAGTTCATTGTCAATCCTCATCTTGATCTGACTCCCAATACAGGAGGGGTATAATTGCAGCCAATTCTGGAACCGGAAGCTAATAATTTATAGTTCTCGACAAAACTATGCGGAACCAAGAATGATGCCGATCCATAAAACCAATTTATAAAGTAGGTTGAGATTTGGTAAGTCAAACCATAATCTACAGTATCTTTAATGACGTCCGTCGTGATACAAACTGTATTTTCTCGCCCTTTGTCAATTTGAGCGACGCATTTGGCTCATACTTATTGAGTTTTAACAGACATGTCCAGATCAAAAGCTTTTCAACGTATGATGTGTAAAATGGAACGCCATTTGCCGCGTCGTCGATTCCAAATCCGTGATTTGCTCAAGCTCCTAATTTCTTACCTAAACTCAGCTGTGTTATAGAACCTGAAATGATCCTTCATAGTCACTGTTGCCTACCGCAGTCCTCAGTCGAAGTGGCCTAAGTACCTGGACAACTACTTGAACCGAACGGTGTTCCTGCAACACAACAACAACGTCACGA